ACATTGTTTGACGGCAATTAGATGTTGTTTCCTGGGTCCGTTAAAACAGGAACTGAGCCCTGTCCACTGCACTAGGATGAGTTACCCGTGCTCTGACAACCTTCCATTCCCAGAATACATTCTCACGGAGGCAAATCATCTGGAACTATTGTGTATGTGAACTAATGAATTATACCTGCATAATTTGTATAACTTGTATGCCTCATAAGCTATTTAAGAGAAATTTGAATTTTTTTGATTCCTATTTACAGAAGGCCAGCTTCTCCACCCTTTTTTTGTTGGAAGCAAGAGCAGTCATCTACACTGGTATGTTCTGATTTACCCACCAAAATCTTACTTTTTGTGGCAAAGGTACCCTAGGTCTGTGTTTACTTTTCTTACAAGTGTTTTTAAAGGCCTCTTTATCCTGCTCTTCACCATTCTAAAAAAAGAATATGGCAAGACTTTAAATTGTATCATCCTTGTGGCTAGGCTTTTTTTTAATTTTTTTCTTTTAATGTTTATTTTTGAGAGAGCATTAGCAGGGGAGGGGCAGAGAGAGGGGAGACAGGAGAATCTGAGCAGAGCCCAGGCTCTGTGCTGTCAGCACAGAGCCGGCGTGACTGTGAATCGCCTGGTGACTGCAAGGCGACTGTGAGATCATGACCTGAGCCGAAGTCGGACGCTTAACCAAGTGTGCCACCCAGGCGGCACCCTGGGCTTTTTTTAAATATGAAATTCTGAAAATTAAAGTTCTGTACAAAATATAATTTGTGTTCACTAGTACTTTGGGCAGTTGGTTTTCCTTTCTCCTTTATATTTGGCTATGGCTCTGTGGTTCTTAACTGGATGTGGGGGTTTAGGGGAGGGGGGAGTGGGGGTGGTGATTTTGCCCCCTAGGGGACACCTGGCAGGGTCTGGAGACATTTCTGCGCTTAGCCCTGTATGGAAGTGGGGCACTGGCATCGAGATGCTGCCGAATATCCTACAATGTTTTTGGATAGCCCTCCCACAGCAAAGAATTATCTGGCCCAAAATACCAGTAGTGCCGAGGCTGAGAAACCGTGGTGCCACAGAGGATTTCCTCTCCTGTGAGGGATGTCGCGAATTAACCCCTTACTTCAGTAGCCTTTCATGCCCATCTCAAATGTGATGCTCAAACGTAGTTAAAGATGGTCTCTCAAATGTAGCATAGACATCCATTTGAACCTGGAGAAAAGTCGAGCTCCTCCTGGCCTAATTTGCTGGTATATAACACAGAAAGCACAGCCATGTTTTCAATGAAAAGGCCAACACAAGACTGAATGGTGTCATGTGTTAAATACACGACACTGGGCCGACATGCGTAAATGACTCAGAATGAGAGTGCACTTCTTAGAGTGCGATTGAACGAGACACGACACGAAGAGAGGTCATGTGCCTGTGTTCGTGCGTGTGTTTTCATACGTTGGCACTCTGTAGGTGGCAAGTTGCAGGCCCACACTAAGTTCAGTAAATAAACCCCGTATGTTGATCTCCGTTCTCGAGGGTGGGAACTGCCCAGGAGCTTTGTGTAAGACGCTGAAATGGACGCAGTGTGTGTTGTGCGTCAAGGCTGTATGCTCGCACGTCAGCCTTTTAGCGGAGTGTAGGGAAACGTTTGTCGCCTAGGTAGTCATTCTCATGTGCCCAAGCGCTACGAGAAACTCCCCGTATCTTTTGCATAAAGCATTTATTAAATAAGACTTACTGAGTCTGCTCTTAAATTTTTTTTGGCCTGCCTTTTTCAATAGTTTGTAGAGATTTTGAAAATCTAAGATAGCCAGGAATGAAAGAGGAGATGTAGATTTTCCCCATCCCTTTTTGGTAGGGGAGGGAAATTAAAAATAAGTCTCTTTCCTTCATATTGGCCCATCGATGTGTGTGGAAGAGTTAGGGGTTACAAGAGAATATTGTCCGTTGGCGGAGGGTATCGATTCGTAGAATCTTTGGGTAATTCACCCAGAACCTAGGGTATCTTCTTTCTCCATTTCCCTGTAACTCTCCCATGATCAAGGAGAGCCCGCATATTCCAGTACGAGGTACCACCTTTACTGACACTTGAAACGGGAAATGAATGATGAGCTTTGCCGGCAGACCTTGTCACAGAGGCGCCTATTCTGGCAAGTGGTCTAATGCTTTCAATCCGACACGTCCACTTGGACAGGCATCCGAGATGAGCCTTTTATTAAGTACCGCCTTAGAGTAAATGGCCTTTTTTTAACCGGTCATATTTTAGATCGGGCCATTATCTCCCATAAACCTGAGAATGAAGAGAAAATGAAATGCTCTGGGTCTGGTACTTTCCACTTCAGATAACTCGCTTCGTCACCATGGGATCTGACAAGTTTGTTTTATCTTTCCGATACTGCCTTCCAACATACTGCAGCACAAATTGGGATTGAGGGATCAAAAAGATGTGGACAGGAATCCCGTTGGTTAAATAGCACTGAGGAATGTAGGTCTAAAAGGAAGTTTCTTTAGTTCATTTCACATGGCTATGGAAGTCAGCACATGCAGTCTCCGAATCACAGTTAGCTTAGAAGGTACACACGAGTTCTCAGTAACAGAGCACCAAGAGCTAGAAAGTTGAAAATAGATGTCATATGATACCAATTATAACTCAGTGTAATTTTGCAGCACCAAGAACCTGTAGAGAGTGCAAGCCAAAATGGAAGATGGTCCTGTTTCCTATGGCTTTAAAAACATTTTTGTTACAATGTTTGCTACTTTTTTTTTCTTCAAACTTTTAATCAAAGTGTTTTTGGCTCTCCTAACTCATTTCTATATCGTCAAAGGAAATAGAAAAGAAGCGGCTAGGATAGCAGAAGAGATCTATGGTGGAATTTCAGGTAAAATCACACGCGTGTGTTCTCAACACTTAAAAAAAAAACCCTCCTAGATGATTCGTACGAATGATATTTCTGGAGGGTGGATTTTATTTGTGGTTTGGCTTTGTGTGGGTACTTTTAGAAACTACAGCACCGATTTGTGAAGGAGTTTCAGCTTTATTTTTGCAAGTTCGTAGTACTATTATTAGTGGTTATTATTTAAGAAGGAACTAGGGTAGTGGCTTTTTAAGAGTATTTGGAGAAATCTCGTTTCCACTAACCTGAAAAATTACTGATAGGGGATTTTCTTTAATATTTTTCAACAAAGTTTAACAATGCATTCTAACAAGACCGGGTCCCCTCCGGAAATAGAATGACCAATATATCTGATTGCAAGCAGCAGCTGTGGCATGCTATATATATTTTTGTGTTGTCATTTGCAGTGCGAATTGATTAGCCACTTGTCACTGGCAGGAAAAATCCTTCACAACGCGGCTTTTACTCGTGTGAAATGCCAACATTTGGGTGAAACATTTTAAACTGTCCTGCTTTGTAGGATTTCATCTCCGTTTCTCTCCAGAAATGATTCACCTTAATTGTCGTGAGATGCCACAAAAGTTAATGAATCAGATACACTTGTTGCTGCTGGGCTTGTCACTTGAGAGAGGAGAATTTATTCGTAAACAGAGTTCAGATTTTCCCTCTGTTATTTTTAGCGTTCATAGGGGTTTCCAGGATGACATCATTCTTTATCTAGCGTCCATTTCAGTTTGCACCCAGGATTCTCTTTCAAAATAGACTTAGGCTGTGTGATTCCAATATGCCAGACAACTTTGAAGACGCTAGATAACAGCAGTATCCAAAGAAATAAGACCTCCAAAGATAAAGCATCAGAATGCTTCAATTAACTGGGGGAAATGAGGAGAGTCGTGAAGTTTCAGGAAGTGTCAGAAGGCCCGGAATGTGGAAAGAGGTTTCTTTTGGGGATTACATTTGTCACACATTTCAGGGAGGTACGTTGCTTAGACTGGTTAAAAAAAAAAAAAAAAAAAAAAAAAAAAAAAAAGCTTCTCTTTAGTTTCAAGTTAAGTGTGATCTGAAAATCGTATTTTCTAATTTGATATGTAAATATGAACAGGGCTTTGTGAGAGTTTCAGTAACACAATTTTGGTATTCTCAGAGATACATCATCCTCATGGTTTAAATGAGGTCAAATCCAACAAAGTCGTTATTGCAAGAGCGTGTTGAGAATGCTTTCTCCTGTTGGTCACGTGCATTGTTTCTGTCTTTGTCGTCCTTAATTCAGTACGCTCTTAAAAAGGTTTTATAATAGTCAAAACCCATGTAAGCATGGTTTGGATTTGGGTCTGGAACTGTAATACAAATCTCTTAAATAGAGCTCACTCATTCCTTAGCTCAAATGCCTTTATTTGTTCAAGCTCGTAGGATAATACTCATTTAATTTGCAAGTAATGTCATGTTATAAAGTCAAAAACGTATCTTTTGAATATCATTAACAAGGCAGGGACTGGGAGAGAATAGTACATGTTAATTTTTCAGTTTAATTTCCTTCCTGTGTATACATATCTACGTGTGTGGATGGCTGTGTGTGTATACAAATACACATTCCCCCCACCCCATACGTGTGTATGCTAGGATATCCAGATGTGGTAAATAAGGCTTTCTATGATAATGCAGGCCGTAACATGCCAGAAACTGGTTTTTTTTTTTCTTTTGACACTGTTAGCAGTCAGATGCTATATTCTTCAAGCTAGATGTATTAAAAAGAAAGAACAAAATCTTGTGCAACCAGAAATTATCTTTGCTGCTCACTGGTCAGACAGATGTCTGTTGGGAAAATATGTGACATTTAATCAGTAAGTTAGCTAATTGACTTAGAAAAGTCTCAGCCCAAGGTTAAATTTCTTGAACAGAGCTGTCAGAAACAAGGGGAGAGCAGTAAAAAAAACTCACCCAGGGCAGGGTTTATTTAGCCTGTCATAGGTCCTGGCACGCTTTCTTTTGGAAGCTAAACCTAGCATCATATCCCTCACTAAATATCATTTTGGGGGCTATAAAATCTTCTGGATTTTTTTTTTCTGGATTTCACATTCTGGAATACATTGGTCAATGTCTTTGTGGCTTAAACTATTACATTTGTAGATAACTTACCAGACCTGAGTTAAACCAGGTTGGCTGTTTTATTTTTCAGGCTTCTTTGTGTGATTTGTCAATAATGTGTGTGTGTGTGTATATATATATGTGTGTGTGTGTGTATATATATATACATATACATATACACATGTGTGTGTGTATATATGTGTATACATATATATATCTACATACATACACACACACACACACACACACACACACTCGTATTTAAGTTGAAAACATTGTCATTAGCCCTTGGCACGACGTCTAGAGCACCGGATGGATCACTGGAGCCCACCTTCAGCCCTCAGATCTCTCTGCAGGTACTTATTCCTGACAGATGCGGTATATGATTTTTCCGCCTTTGCCAATCTGGCCAGAATTGAAGCTGTATTTAGTACAGGGCTTGGTCATCAAACTTGATAAAAATAGAGTATAGATACAGGTTGATAATCTGTTTTCACAACCCTCAGGCCAGACGTGGTTCAGGATTCAGGAGTTTGGGGGCTACTAGGAAGATTACACAGTGTTTATAGTGTATATTACACGGCACTCCCAGCCGGGCCTCGAGCCGCCTCCCCAAATCAAACATCTTGACATTTCTATTTCTGTATCATATTGGATATTTTGAAATACAAATTAAAAAGAAAAACTCTCTTAACCTGAGTCCTTACCGTGCTTCGCTGCCAAAGGAGTTGGCATCAAACTTGGGAAAAAGCTTGGTTTTCAAAATTTGGGTGATTTTACATTTGCAGATGCGAGATTGTGGAAGTGTTGCATTCTTTTTTTTTTTGTTTGTTTAATGTTTATGTTAAGCCAAATCTAAAAGATCCGTGTTGGTCTAAATGTTACGGCTTAAAATGAGTTGTCCTTGTTCTAAATTCAGAAGCCTCACTTTGATTTGATGGCCCCGCCTCTGTCTGACTCATCCCCCTGACTCCTTTTTCCTACCCTTCCCCTACCAGCAGGTTTTTCCTGCTTTTGGTCCCTTCTTGCCAAACCATCTACCTAGCCTTCTACTCTTGTTCGGTCTTGCTGGTCGTCCTCTCAAGCCTTGGCCCAGCCGTCTTCTTCATGGCGACACATCACAGGTGCCGGCCGGCTTTCCCAAATTTGGACAACCAGCCCTCAGCAGGGGGTGTGCCCACACCAACTGTTACCTTTAGCTCAGCTCTCCTGCTCCTGATGGGCTCAGAGGAACCTTCTAACACCCTGCAAATAGGTGTTCGTTGACCATGGTGCATCTCCTGACTGGAATCGAGTGTTCTAGAAAGTGTGCACTTTAACTCAATCGTATTCTAATATTTTAGGTATCTCAGGAAATTTATTATAACGTGACTTTTTCCAATTACCTTTGTTTTACTTAAATCATTAATTCTGCTAGGCTCCTGTGTATATTTTGGTTCAAAATTGAGGTTCCTCTTGAATGTGTTTTCTCTGATAAGTGCTACAGGAGAAGATATTGCTTCGTATGATTCTGGAACTTGAATAAAGAGACTAAAGATTGTTCCACGTGCACTAGAGATTATAACTGGTTAGGGGGTTCTTTAAAAGTAATAAACCAGTAAGCTCAAATACTTGTCAGAACCAGGAAGGGGGAAATTGCAAAAAAAAATTTAATAATTAATAGTAATAATACAGGTTTTTATCTTGAATACTTGGCAGTCAGACAACTGTATCCCCTCGGAACCGATTTTGTTACTGAAACGTGTGGTTTTAGGAGCTGTCATATTCTGAGAAAAAGTCCACCGGGTGGGGGGGGGGGGATGAAAACGCACTTGAACATTTTCCATACACTTCATCAGGAACAAGTAAACATATTTGTCCAGTAAACTATCTTCCTAATGTGCTTGCAGCCCCGTGACACAGGCAGTCTGCCCAAGAACTAAAAATAGACTGCCTTAGGAGAGAAGGGTTGAGTCCTACTTCGGCGCTCACTTATTTGGAGAGCTTAGTTGATATTTCCTGAAAGGAATGGAAAAACTCCCTAGCTGCCAAGTAACTTCAATCCTTAATTTCTCACAATTAGCTCCAATTTGCGAAACAAGAACGGTAAGAGCGAGACACTGCGTGTCGGGAATAAGAGGAAAGCAGGAGAACCCACCATGGCTGAGTTGCTGGAAAGGGTTTTGTGTGAAAACTCTAGGCCCTTTGACGCAAGTGCTGGAAAACAATGGGACCGGGAAGGTGGCTTCCTGGAGAGTGGGTTTGTTTCCAGTGGGGAAACAAAGAGGATTTCTACATCGAAGGGGATACGAATGGATTCATTTCATGCTATGTATGGAGAGATGGCGGATAGAGCGAAGGATCCCCGGCCAAGAAACCTACCCTGAGGTTAGGTGGGATCTCAACACCAGAGCAGGGTGCGTTCTGGGTCACAAAACCTTGGAATTCGGTACTATTTCTGCCAATACTGGAAGTGAGGTCTCGTTACGTGGGGCAAATGGGTTGCCATGTGTTTTGGGGTGTTCCGGTTCACGACGCGAGGCTCTTCCCTTCCCTCCTCTCTCGAAGGCCAAGGGCAGGGGCTCCAGGAGAAATACGAGTTTAGATAAGGGGCCTCTGAAAGCAGGGGAGCTTGGTACCTCCCTGTCAAGTTGGAAGTCAGCCGGGGCAACTTCCGGACCTGTCCGCTGGGCCTGTCCAGCGGGAAGAGGGCAGTGGCGTGGTGAGAAGGAAGCCCAGCCCTGCTCTCTTCCTGCTTTCTGGGTGGACAAGAATATGGCCCCGTAGGCTTGCCATGACATGGGGTGGGAGCTCGGGGTGTCCGAGGGCGCTGCGTTGACAGGGGACAGGAGGAGAGGGGGCCGAATGCCAATGAACAGGAAGGGGGCCTGGAAGTGAGCCCCGGTAGGAAGGGCAAGCCCGCAGACCAGGAGTGACACCTGCAGTTGAGGTAGCAAGCGAGCGAGACCGGCCTCGTCTTCCACTTCCCTGGGGAGATGTCCTCCCTCTCTCTTCTCCCCACCCCCAAACCACAAGGGGAGCTGGCACCCAGAACAAGGAGGTGGGAACACCTATGGGGACACGCTGCTCTTCTGTCCGCAGCTGCTGGCGTGGCAGAGAGGGCCATCCCCTGCCCCCGGAGGAGGTAGAGGAGAGGAGATTATCTTTCCAAAGTGGACTGACCAGTACACTGGTCGTTTTCAAATCTCTCGATTGAAGAACTTTGTAAATACAGACAAGGGCACAAATTCTAAGCGAACATCTGGATGAATTTTCACAAAGTGAGCACGATCAGGTACCAGCTCCCCGGAGCAAGACACTGCATATTATCAGCATGGCCCCCACTGGTTCCTCTTCCCGTCAGCCCCCACCCCTCCTTGGGGTCCTTTTGACTCCAGGTGAGTTTGGCCCCCTTTTGTATGTTACGGAAAGGGATCACACAGCACGTGCCCTCCTGTGTCTGGCTTCCTTCACTCGACATTAGGTTTCGAGATCTATCCAGGTTGTATGTGCGGAGTGGGTCTTATGGGACTGGTGAGGAACAGAAATTACTAGAAAGAGGACGAAGATGGAGTTAGGGTTCCTGCTTCTCAGAAGGAAAGGGGACCCCCACAGCCCACTCGGAAGTAAGTTTTAAAAATAATAAAGCCACTTTGTGTTAGTATTCTAATTTCACGATAGCTAGTTACTGTAAATCTTGTTCTGATTTTTGAGTCAAATACTTACTGTACTTTCGGGTGACTCGGGTTCACTGGCTGTTGTTGGAACAAGGGCATAACAGAGCCACGGCTGTAGGTTTGCTCCTTACATGGGTCAAGGTTCTAGTGACGTCCGTGGATGAAGACTGACCTCCTAACCCCAGAGCCCAGGTCCACTTCCAAGAGCGGTTAGGCAAGACTGTAGCATGTCTGATACACAGTTCATATTGAAAGAGGTGAAGATGTATTAGAAGAAAACCAAGGCTGACTAATCGAGGATTATATGCATTCATTATGTCACGATTCCCAGCTTATGCAAATTATAAATGTCCAAAGAGATTTTCAAATTCATCAGCTTTTAACTGACTCAGGAACAAGTGGAGACACAAACAGTATTTTTTCATGTTAAAATTTGTATCCATTTTTCTTATCAAAGCATTGCACATTCATATCAGGAGTACGAAAACACCAGTGATTATATGTATGTGTGTGTGTATACTTAATTATATATAAATTAGTTCCAACTTACATATGTGTGTGTATACACACACACACGCACTTTTAAATCTTGGAACTCACTTTGAAGTGACAGAAAAGGCCCAAGAGTGGTACCAAGAATTCCCACTTCTCTTTGCCCAGAGACCCCATTCATATTTACCCAACTTTCCTAATAACGTCCTTGAGAGCAAAAGGATGCATATTGCCTTTAGACGTTGTGTCTCATCAGCCTTCTTCACTGTGGAACGGTTCCTCTGTCCCTCCTCGAACAAGTTACAGGCCAGTTATTTTAGAGAACGGCCCCCAGTTTGAGTTGGCTCACAGTGTCCTCAAGATTAGATTTGGGTTATGCATCTTGAGCAGGAAGATCACAGATGCTACGGTGTATTTCTCCCATCGCATTCCTTCCGATAGTACATGATGTCGCCCGTTGCATTCCATGGCATGGCACACCGGGCCGATTTGTTCCGTCACTTCTGACGTTAACTTTGATCCGCTGGGTAAGGTGGTGTCTACAGTTTGGTGCTACTGTAAAATCGCCTGTATTTCTTTTATAACTAGTAGTTATTTTGTGAGGAGATCACTGGAGCCAGATTCTACCATTTCTTCCACATTTCCAAGTTGGTGTCGTACTATGAGGACGAGCTTCCTCCTTGCTATTTGTATATTAATTTCTATCAGCCAGTACTTATAGATTCCTATTTTCTTTGCTAGGGTATGATCTCCTACCATCACTTTGTATTTGGATGCTGAAGGCATCCCATATTTGACCAGTGGAAGCCCCTTCGAGCCAGCTCCTGCGTCTTTTTGACATGTCCCATCATTCACTGTCTTTCTGGCACAAGGTGTTCGAGGCCACCTTAATCTTACGTTTTTCCTGGCCCAGCCCTGGAATCAGCCATTTCTCCAAGACCTTGTTACAATGGTGCAAATATAAATACACACGTTGAAAATCACATTTTCATACCAACTGCTCCAACTTCAGTCCAACCCCGTAGAGTCCATTCTAGGCTTCCCCCTTTTCATAACGCAGAGGTGACGAGATGGTAAGAAGTGAGTTTCAGCCTAAGAAGAGGGCCTACTGAAATGTCGATAGCCCTGGTTCCCATCTGCTGGAAAAGTCACTCCGTCCTTGCGGCCTCGAGCTATTTCGCATTCACGTAGTCCTAGCGTTGACGGGGTTGTTTCCACCCGGGTTGCAGGAAGAGGAACACCTGGATTCTTGGCACCATCAGGATCACCTAGAACAGGTTGATGAGATGGGCCTTTTGTGTGAAATCCGAACTGTACGACATGCTTCTCAGTGTATGAAGAGCACGATCGTATTTGAAATTTTACAAACTGGGACAGGCCTTCCGAAACAAGTGATTGCTCTTTGGCGTATTTTAAGAGGGTTAGTTACTTCGCAAATGCCCACTGAAGCTGGTCAGTCTTGTTTACCGACCAGCAATTACAGGAAAGGAAATATTTGTGAGGCTGTTCTGAAGCTGCCCCTTAGGGCACTGCCCCAGCGTGTGTACTTTTTACTCACAGATTGCTTGGGTACCTGACATTATGGATGTGCTTTATTGGCCTACTTAGAGACCTAAGCCCTTGCTAAGTACTAAATTACTGTACTCCCATTTCACAGATCACGAAATTGACGTTGACATAATTTTAGGAACTTGCCCTTCTTGGCAGAACGTGGTCGAGGTGGGACTTGAACCCAGGCCCTGTGGCCCCGCTGGCTCTGGGCTTAGCCATCACGCTTAACTGCCCACCGAAAAGTTTGGAAGATTGTGTCATCTGAAAAGCCATATTCTACGTCATGGGAATAGATATGCCTCATCACCTAAATGAAAGAGAGACGATTAATTACCTAGGGAATTGAGAGCAAACCCATGTCCCCTGATTCTCAGGCCTCCTTCGTGGGGTACAAGCTGTTGCGTTTTCAGGGTAAAGGTGAGGGTAAGAGGCAGGGTAAAGATGAAAGCAGACAGGACTGTCCACCAGCTTTGCCCCTCACTTTGCCTTGTCTGGAGCTATCAGACTCAAGCTCCGAGAATATGTATTCAAACTCAGCCTATTGCTTATTAAAACCGCGCCCCACCCCCCCGCCGAAAGAATGAGAGAGATGTTACGTGCTCCCTCTCCACGCGCACCACTAAATGGATGGACCATATACTCAGTGGCTTGTCACCCTGAAAGTGGCTGCTGAAAGAGCCTGGTGCGTGGTCCAAGTTTCCCTCCTCTTCCCCAAACCTCCTCTCACGGTGGGTGGGCACCACGACTGAGCTGCCCGGAAGAAGACTCCAGACCTTGACTCTGAGCTTGATCTGTGTTGCAGATTGCTGGGCTGATCGATCCCCACTTCATGAAGCTGCGGCCCAGGGGCGCTTACTGGCCCTTAAAACTTTAATTGCACAAGTAAGTGAACCAGAGACTTGAACCTTTGTGCCTGTGCGATCATCAGCGTCATGCTTTACGAGCTTTGACTGAAGCGGAGTCTTGCTTGCCCCATCTGGCTCCCCGCACAGCCAGGCTCGGTGTATGTATTGTCTGCAGCTCAACCGTTTGTTCCTCCTGCCTCTCCTTTCTTGGGAATCTGGCTCATCTCTTCCGCCCAGCGCCCTCCTTCCCCCTCCGGGCCTGCCTTTACCCCATAGGCAGTTTCCCTGTGAGGGTGACAGTACGTGCCTTCAAATCTTTGTTGCACTAACTCACCCTGTGCTCTCCCAGTGTTCCTTGGTAACAACGGCCCCCCGAAGTTGCATTAGTTAGCTATTACCGCATAACAAATGACCTCAAAACACAGTGGCTGAAAACAACGAGTGCGGATTGTCACGGTTTCTATGGGCCGAGGGGCAGCCTGGCAGGTGGTTCTGGCTCTGAGTCTCTTGCAGGCAGCAGAGTGTCAGCTGGGGTCGCGGTCACCTCACAGCTCGAGCGGGGAGGATCCGCTTCCAAGCTCACGCATCTGCTTGTTGGCCAGCTTCAACCCCTTGTCACAAAGGCCTCTCCACAGGGCCGAGTCACGAAATGGCAGCTGGCTTCCCCCGGAGAGAGCGGGAGACAGTGCCTTAGAAGCAAGTCTTAGTATAACCTAATCTCCAAAATGGCATCCCATCACTTCTGCCATATTCTATTCATTAGATGTGAGTCGATAGATCCAGCCCACACCCCAGGGGAGGGGATTACAGAGTGAGCCAGTACAAGGAATCGGGGATCGCTGGGGGCCACCTTAGAGTCCGCCTCCCCTGATACAGTATTTCAAGAGCAAATTTACAATGGGTTGACGTGGGTAGATGTTACTCTTGGGGAAGATTGATTAAAGTCTTACTTATTAAGACTATTTTATTTATGACTGTACCCCTAGCACCTTGAACAATGAGTAACGGCTTAGTAAATATTTGTAAAACGAATGAACAAAAGTGTACATGCTCCATTGACATTGTTTTAGAATCTGCGTGTGTATAGAGGAGGTGATTTATTGTATCTTTTTTCTACATCCTAGCTACCACCGAACCTGGCTCCCTTACCATTTTCACATGCGCACACATGTGCACACGGGTGTGCTTTTTTTTTTTTTGCTTTCCTTTTTTATGAGTTGTGTTACTTCTTAAGGAAGTAGAGGCAAAAGGAAAACAGTACTGCCAGTAGTAATCAAATGGCTTTTGTGCTTGATTTTTATCACTTGCTTATTTATTTCTAAGCACTTTAAAATTTGATTATTTTTTACATGTAATATACTCACATCGTTCAAAGATTAAAGTGATACTAAAAGGTACACAGTGAAAAGTCTGGCACCCACCTCCTCCCTCTTAGTCTCCCACTTCAACACTTTTAGTAGTATTTTTTAATAAACGTTTAATTTTGGAATAATTTTAAAGAAGAGTCGTGGGGTGCCCAGTGGCTCAGTCGGTTAAGCTTCCGACTTCGGCCCAGGTCATGATCTCACGGTTCGTGGGTTCGAGCCCCGCATCGGGCTCTGTGCTGCCAGCTCGGAGCCTTGAGCCTGCTTCGGATTCTTTGTCTCCCGCTCTCTCTCTGCCCCATCCCCTGCTTGTGCTCTCTCTCAAAAATAAATAAACATTTTTTTTTTAAATAAAGAAGAGTTGCAAAGAGAGTACAGACAGCTCCCAGATGCCTATACTTCACCCAACTTCCCCTAGTGCTAATATTACATAACCATGGTACTTTAGTAAAACATAAGAAAGTAACATTGTTAACACCATTAACTAAACTGCAGATTATTGAGATCACACCAGTTTTTCCACAGAGTCCTTTTTCTCTTCCAGGCCCCAATCCAGGATCCCACATTGTATTTAGTACTTATTATTTTTTTATGTTTGTTTATTTTTGAGAGAGAGAGAGAGAGAGAGAGAGAGAGAGAGAGAGAATGCAAGCAGTGCAGGGACAGAGAGAGGAGAGAATCCCAAGCATGCTCTGTGCCGTCAGCGCAGAGCCCGAATCAGGGCTCAAACTCACAAACTGTGAGATCCTGACCTGGGCTGAAATCAAGAGTCGGGCCGCTCAACCGACTGAGCCACCCAGGTGTCCCCCACCCCCGACTTTATTTTTAAGTATACTTCATAAGCATGTTGATTTCTGTAAACCAGTGTGCTTAAATGTGTCAGGAGTGCTCTTCAGAGAGAAGTTGAGCTTTTTCTCAGTGCATGCACACTTCTTTACCCTTACACACTAGTAAAAAAATGTATTATTTTATTTTATTTTTTACTTTATTTCACATACAGTGTGGTGGGGTAAAGCAGGAAACCAGGGATGAGAAACTCCTATCGTGCTGGCTGGCATCGACGGCTGGGGGAGCCTTAAGTCTTAGTAATAGTTTGAACTTTCTGCCTCTCTGTTTTCTCGTGCACAATGAAGGTGATTCACTCTAGTCGGTCTTTCAGGCCCGTCCAACATCACATGGGTACGAATCCAGGAATTGACTTTGCACCAGATGGAAGTTTTGTTTTTTGTTTTTCCTAGTACACTGCTGCCACCTTGTGGGCTAGCCTGTTTTTCTTTTCTTAAAGGGAAATAATACACAGGGAAATTTTCCTAATTGTATTTAAATACCCAAAATGAAATATACAGCACAGCTCTAGAGTAATGACATCATATTCAGGGCATGAGAATGGATGGGACCAACGAGGTACAGAGAGGCCCTAAGAGGAAGGGACAGGGCAATAGTGGCAAGTCCCAGCTGCTGGCCACAGCAGGGATGCTGCCAGCCCCAGGGACGTGGGGCGGGAGGCCGTGGGAACTTAGGTTGGCGTTTGGGGTTCAGGGTCATGCACTAGGTTTCGGAAGTTTTCAGTGGGTCGGTTAGGAGGCAGGAAATCAGAAGCAGAACTCCGTTCAGAAAAGCTGAGAGGGACCTCCTGCTTTCACAGAAAGTGGTAATCATGGGTAGGGGGGATGGTCAGGGCCAAGTTGTGAAAATCAGGGCACGAAGTCAGAGTCGGCCAGCAGCGAGGCTGATCGTGCCCATCTGTCACATGGACTCCAAGACAAGGCATAAGAGGAGGGGGGCGTGCTGGGACTGGGTAAGGAGAAGCCGCTGGCCCCGGACCCTGGTACTGCAGAGGCCTCTCCATGCCCTGGAGTTGCGGTCAAGAGCAGTGCTGCTACTACGGCATACGAATGCCGGAGCGCTGTCTGCTGGACTCCGGCCTCTGAAGTCCGGGAGTCGCCGGCATTGCTAATGCAGCCTCGACCCCTTCTCCCCAAATTCTAGGGTGTCAACGTGAACCTCGTGACAATTAACCGGGTCTCTTCGCTCCACGAGGCGTGCCTCGGAGGTCACGTGGCCTGCGCTAAAGCCTTATTGGAAAAGGGCGCGCACGTGAGTACCGCCCCTCCCCCCGCCTCCCCCCGCCGCCCCCCTCCCGCAGCCCTGTCTGCCCAGGTGCACCTGCTAGGGTCTAAACAGACGCTACCCTCCAGACTGTGCACCCACTGGCGGTGTAGACAGGTCTGGCCCTGTCCGCGTGCACATTCCTGAGACACGGTTGGTCACTCCCCTCTTCAGCCTCTGTGCCCGTGGGCGAGCATTCTAATGAGGTAATTCACAGGAATCCTTGAAAATTGCCCTGCTGAGTTTCAAAAGATCAACTCAAACTAGAGTTCTCTGAAACTGATCTCGGGAAATGGACTGTGAAACATGAGAAAGAGTACAATTTAAAAGAGCGACAACAAAAACGCTCTTAATTCAACACCGTAAACCAACGACTATTTTTATTGAGCAAAATCATCAAATTAAATAAGCTTTTAATAAGTAATACATTGAAAAAACCCGACAGAATTAACTTTATCTTAAAATTCTATCCTTATGTATCTTTTTCTCTTTTTAGGTTTATTTTAGTTTTAAATTATCGTTTTTAACTCTGGTATAGTTAACATATAGTGTTTTATTAGTTTCAGGTGTACAATATAGTGACTCAACAATGCCATACACCCCCCAGTATCCTTATTTCAAGCATGAGTGGCTGAGGTGCTGTGTGTAATTGATATCACAACAGAACTGTGAAATTACAACTTTTGAAAATCTCAGTGACATTCATTTAGTTGCCAGATACCATTGTGTTGCTAATTTCCACTTTTTAACTCAGTCCTCGTGTTGTTTCACGAGCTGCAATGTTTTTAGGTGCTTAACTGAAGCTGTTCTTTGCATTTTATATGGAAGTTGGGTCTCTCTGTGTCGAACTGAATATAAAAGCCTTTCTTGGGCAAAGTGATTTTCCCCATGCCACAGTGGTCGTGTGTTTCTATGCGGTGGTGCTTCCTGAAGTTACTGGGTAGTCAACTCACATGTAGTGACGGGGTGAGGCTGGGTGAGGGCCGTTTCCTTCCGTTGGCGGGAGATAGCAAACCACATCGGGTTGTGGAGGAGTGTGTGCTGGTACAACTCTGGGAGTTTTTGTGGGAGACAAAAAAAAAAGTCAGACGCAGTCCCTTGTGTTTGGCCATCTTTTGAGGAAACAGTCGATGAAGATTGTGTTATTTAACATTTAAATCAGAAGGAGACAAGGAATAAAAGAGAGTTGGTCAATCAGTAGGAAATTCCTCAAACTTGGCAGGCCCGTGGGTGCCTCAAACTCCGTGCATCTGAAACTTGTGCTTCTGATGTCCTTCCCCGGGGGACGGGCTCCCCTTGCAGCCCGGTCTCAGAGGCCAGGTGAAACACATTCCTGCGTTCCCCCGTTCCAGACCTGGGATCATCCTACTTCTCCCATCTCCCCGACTAATTAATCACCACATCCTGCTAATTTTGCTTCCTCAGTATTTCTCAAGTCTGTACTCTCTTTTGCCTTGCTCCTGTGGTGCTCGAAAGCATTTATTATTTTTTAAAACATTTTTAATGTTTATTTGGGAGAGAGACAGGGGGAACAAGAGGGGGAGGGGCAGAGAGAGGGAGACACAGAAGCCGAAGCAGGCTCCAGGCTCTGAGCTGTCGGCACAGAGCCCGGTGCGGGGCTCGAACTCCCAGATGGAGAGATCTTGACCTGGGCTGAAGTCAGACGCTTAACTGACTGAGCCACCCAGGCGCCCCAAGCATTTATTATTGTATCAAAATGATCTCTTTCTGTGTTTGTCTTCCCTGCTAGAATTCACCCTGTTCAGGAGACGCAAGTTGCCTTACTCGCCTTTGTTTCTGAAACACTGGCACCTAATAGGTGCTCAATAAATGTTTGCTGCCCTGACCTGAGAAACTGAGGAAATCAAATTAGAAGACTTCGGGACTGAGGATGAGGATGATTCTCAGTAACAACAAATCAAACCAGTTCCACCAAATATTTTTTCAGTACAAATGTAAATAGGTTAGAAAATCCCTAGGCTGTATGAATTTGCACACTACCTCCCCTGTCCTTGTCTGTCGCCGCCACCTTAGCCTCTCCTCCTTCACTTTCCAATATAATGGGGGCTACCCTGGGACTGTGGAGAGGGAGCTTTTTTGTTTGTTTCTGAGACCAGAAAATTTGGGATCCTGATTCTCACACGCCCGCATCCTCAGTTGTTGAGGCAAGAGCCTCGCCACCGGAAGGCCTTGGTCCCCTGATGTCCTGGCCAACCTATTGCTAATACCCAAAGATGCCCTCCAGCTGTGTTGCTTCTCAGGTGCCTCCCGCATCCCTAGAAGGCACCCAGGGTGGTTGGAGACCCCATGTTGATGGCTCTTTTCTTTGTGCCTTTGGCTTGATCGTGATCTCTTTAGGAGTCACTGCTGGCACACGCAATCGGTACAGACTAGAGCAGACCAGTAAGAGAACTTGTGGCAAGACGGACAGAACTGCGGGGAAATCGCTGAGGAGATTTTTTGCAAGCGCAGATTTGGGGACCTGGCTTCTCCAGTACTTTCGGCGCCCACCCCATTGGTTCATGATTGGGATGGGGAGTCAGCTCCGTAGGAACGGCCAATGAAAATAACTGTCGTTGCAAATGTTTACTAAATGCTCACCGGGCACCAGGCAGTGTTCTTAGTGTTTAACATGTGGTGACTCACTTGATGCACCCAGTAACTTCATGAGGCAGAGTCTTTAATGATCCTCATTTTACAGGCAAGGAAACTGAGGCACAGAAAGTTAATAACCCGACCGAGGATTCTGAACAAATAGAAGAGAGAACGCTGGGATTTGAACCCAAGCTAATGGTACCAGCGGCCATGCTCCTAACCACCAAACGGGCCCCCCCTCCTCCATGGTTAGGAGGCTCGTAAGAAGCTCTGGAATACCCATGCATACATTTGAAAAGCTCTGTCCCATTTTGTCCCACTTGGGATATTATTTGTAGGTGAGAGTTGACAGATTGCTGGCATTTAAAAAACATGGTACCGTAGTGATGTGGAGTTCCCTCGCTCATCCACCAGCATGGGAAATTTCTCCAGGCAGATGCATAGGAATAAACACTTGGCAACGGTGAGAGAAAAATCGCAAATCCTCTGGGCCTCTTCGCTCATCGTTAGGTCAACGGAGTGACGGTCCACGGAGCCACGCCCCTCTTCAACGCGTGCCGGAGCGGCAGTGCTGCGTGCGTCCACGTGCTGCTGGAGTTTGGAGCCAAGGCCCAGCTGGAGGCGCACTTGGCTTCACCCATCCACGAGGCAGTGAAGAGAGGTGAGTCGGCCGTCACAATGCACACCAACTGGTGGGCTCGCTCCGATCTGCGCGAATCAGTGGTATAGTGTTCGCCACGCCCTTTCTGTCTGCCATATCGCATTTCCTAGGGAGTCGGTCTCTCGGCAGGCCCCTCTGGAAACTCTTTGCTGGTGTTTTGGTGGCTCCGACTGCAGGGGTGACTTCCATGAGTCGTACGTTGCGTATGTCTTGTCTTTATTAGGAAAGAGCAGCTCATTTCCCAAAGCCCATAAAGCATCAGGCACTAAAATAAATTATGAAAGTGTCTGAAAGCCAAGGCTGATGGTATCCCTAATGGACGATTCAACATAACTGCCCACAACCAGCAGTATACTCTAGACGAGCTGCTGACTTCAAGGTCATTAGGTATTGAAAAAAGGTTGCAACTTTAAAAACATCGCATTAGAAACCTTCAGGTTGATTCTAGCTTCCCGTGTTCTCAGTTACTTTTGAAATGAGGGAAAAGAGTAAAATCGAGGTCTTTAAAAACTTGACGCATTGGCTAGACAGAACAAGAAGACACCTTTGAAAGGTCAAGGCCATTTGTCAAAGGTCACACTGACAGAGCAGCATTTCTGTCACCCACTGGTGGAGTTATTCTCTTATATTGAGATCAGAAATACAGTGGGGAAGTTAGAATGCTGTAGAACAGTGATCTTTGCGGGTCTAATTCGGGATGAAAGTCTTCATTTCAAAGGGCAATAGTGAAAGATTTGCCCCAGGTTATTAAATATGTCACTTGGTAATTTTTTGTTTTTTTTTGCAGCGGACTACTTTTTTCCTCTGCTTTTATTTTTGTTCCATTTCTTTAACAATTGAAGTCTAATTAGCGTACAGCGTTCTATTAGTTTCAGGCGTACAATATAATGAGTTAACAATTCTGTGCATTACTCAGTGTTACTCCTGATTGCCTTCATCTCTTTC